GGAGTGGCACACGGCTAAAAGATCAAACGATCAATTGTTGTGTCTATGGGGTGCCCCTGCCCCTGTATATAAAGGAGCAAGGGGGGGTTGCGGCCGGCCAAGGAAGAGGCACTCTAGGAGGAGTCCTACTCCCACCGGGAGTAGGACTCGCCCCCTTTCCTAGTTGGATTAGGACTTGGGAGGGGGAAGGAGTGGAGGAGAAGAAGGAAGGGGGGGCGCCACCCCCCTCTCCTTGTCCTATTCGGAATGGGGGGGAGGGGCGCGCGGCCCAGCCCTAGCCACCTCTCCTCTCTTCCACCTAGGCCCACTAAGGTCCGTTAAGTCCCTGGGGGGTTCCGGTAACCTCCCTGTACTCCGATAAAATCCCGATTTCACCCGGAACACTTCCGATATCCAAACATAGGCTTCCAATATATCAATCTTCATGTCTCGACAATTTCGAGACTCCTCGTCATGTCCGGGATCTCATCCGGGACTCCGAACAACCTTCGGTACATCAAAACATATAAACTCATAATATAACCGTCATCGAAACTTTAAGCGTGCGGACCCTACGGGTTCGAGAACTATGTAGACATGACCGAGACATGTCTCCAGTCAATAACCAGTAGCGGAACCTGGATGTTCATATGGGCTCCCACATATTCTACGAAGATCTTTATCGGTCAAACCGCATGACAACATACGTTGTTCCCTTTGTCATCGGTATTTTACTTGCCCGAGATTCGATCGTTGATATCTCAATACCTAGTTCAATCTCGTTACCGGCAAGTCTCTTTACTCGTTCCGTAATACATCATCCCGCAACTAACTCATTAGTTGCAATGCTTGCAAGGCTTAAGTGATGTGCATTACCGAGAGGGCCCAGAGATACCTCTCCGACAATCGGAGTGACAAATCCTAATCTCCAAATATGCCAACCCAACAAGTACCTTTGGAGACACCTCTAGAGCACCTTTATAATCACCTAGTTACGTTGTGACGTTTGGTAGCACACAAAGTGTTCCTCCGGTAAACGGGAGTTGCATAATCTCATAGTCATAGGAACATGTATAAGTCATGAAGAAAGCAATAGCAACATACTAAACGATCGGGTGCTAAGCTAACGGAATGGGTCATGTCAATCATATCGTTCTCCTAATGATGTGACCCCGTTAATCAAATGACAACTCATGTCTATGGTTAGGAAACATAACCATCTTTGATCAACGAGCTAATCAAGTAGAGTCATACTAGTGACAATCTGTTTGTCTATGTATTCACACATGTATTATGTTTCCAGTTAATACAATTCTAGCATAAATAATAAACATTTATCATGATATAAGGAAATAAATAATAACTTTATTATTGCCTCTAGGGAATATTTCCTTCACCAACCAGCCTAGGCGTTTGTCCGTGGTTTGAGAGGTCCGGCTGGGTCGATTTTTTTGACCATTCAGTGACCGGATGACCTGCCCGGGCGTTTGAGACGGGTATGAGAGGCCCGGCTGTAGATGCTCTAAACAAAGCCTTCCAAAATTTGTTGCTGGTGGGACCCATTTTTCATGGGCTAATAAGAACTTTTTCTTCCCCATCTCATCAACAAAAATTGATGAAAACTCAAGCTGGTTTTGAACTTGATTTCCACAATGCTTACTAGCACGATTTCAGCTAACGAAATCAAAATATAACTAATTTATTGAATCATAAATATCTATTGCGGCCTCTTCCTATATTTGGAAGTGACCTCAGAGACGAGATTCTTCGGGTTCTTCCACTTCCGCAATCAGGAGGTCTATGAGCACATGTGTGTCTTCATTGCGGGACTAAGCTACAACGCTGCCAAGGCGGTAGTTGACATGAACGCAAGGTAGTGCTGGGTGGTGGGGAAGTGCTCCATCCCAAGGGTTGATTCAGCCTAATCGAGCCAATCCTCCTTGACCCACTGAGACCACGATGAGGTCCTTTCACAAGATTTCTCTCGGCACGGTCCTCTTTTGTCTCGCAGGGGGATAGGAGGGCTCCACTGCCCCGACATGGCAGATGTGGGTGGTTGTGGTGCCGACAACAAAGATGGGTGAGTAGTGGCGCCCCGAGGAGGCGGGCCGGTTTATATACCTGCAAAAGGGAATGCTTCGACGGGAAACGTGGTTAGAATTGACGGTCGTGGTAGGTAAATGGGTGCGACACACGTCATTTGTCATTAATGGGTGCTCTTCTCAGTGCAAAAGTGGTTGCGCTATTGCCAGGAGTCAAGGTGGCGGACATACGGATGACTGCATCATTGGCAGGACTGTATATAGAAGGAAGAAGATGGCATCAAACTTCACTCCTTGGCGAGCGATTTGGTTTGGTGCCCGCTCCATATCAAAACCCCTCCGGCCTACAAATTTGTAGGCTCGCATGATCGATTTGAAGCTGCCTGCAAGAAGTATGGAGGCCAAGGTCGTTATGGCGACTCTACAAGACCTAATTTTGGGCCTCGAACAAAAAACTACGGTTAGTATGGTGATCGGCGTACATATGACTTGACTTTGGTAGAGCTATCAGATGATCTCATTAAGACCGCCAGTTCTTTGCCATTATTTCTTCTCATGTCCCCCTTTTCTGAGTAGGCTCCTTTGTTTACACTAATATCTACAAGCATTATATTCTATTTGGTTGTGAAACTGCATGCATTATAGTTGTCCCCGCTACGGCCGCTAGTAAAGGAGTTCAACGGGGAAGTAGAACTTTGAAACTAAGACAATGAAAATGGTCACAAAATCGTACATGTAGTCACGTACAGGTGCCAAATAGTGTTGCACTACCATAGGTCCTTAGTTGTGCCAGATATCAAACATTTCACAAGACTTCATGTTCCGCACATAGGGATCGGGTCATTGACCAAACACAAAATCAGGTTGGCGTTGTGAACCGGACCATTTACCATTCTACGTACTTTTGGTTGTTTGTTCGGTCAGTTTTATTATATGCTAGCGATGGGCTGAACAGTTTTTTCAGTTGTTTTTTTCTTCTTGCAACTACATTAATTTTTATAAATGGTGACGATATTTTATACAATGTTCTTGAGTTTTAAAAAAATGAACACAAATGTTCAATAATTGTAAAATATTTTAAAATATTACAGAAATTTAACATGTTAAAGAATTTTTAAAAAGTTCACATTTCTTTTTGTAATGAAAATCAATTTCACAAAAGCTTGCAAATAAGAAAATATTTGCAAATTTCAAAACGTTTCAATTTAAATTAGTTCAGGATTTTTTAAATAAAAACTAATGTTAATGAACTAAAAAGAAAATCTCCAATTTTAGTTGAAGCATTTAAAAATTAAAAGGTGTTGACGAATAAAAAATAGAAAAGGTAAAGTTTCTAATGAAAAATTAAAATAAACAGAAAAAATTCAAAAATGAAATGCAAGAGAAAAAGAAAGAAGAACGGAAAATCCCAAGTAAATCAGGATATTCGTAACAACAGAAGCAGGAAACAATACAGTGACTCGAGTGGCATAGCCCATATAATCACCGGAAATGCGTTTTTAGGTTTTTTTGAGTAACATGCGTGTTTAGGTTGACACACCCAGCCTTACACGCGGAATATTTACCCCTCTTCGCACGGCTCTCAATTGCATTTAATTTTTTAGAGGAATTAAATTTAATCAACTTATTTCTTTGAGGCATGCAAGCTGTGGCGGACATTCTAGAAAAATCTTGGCTACCCCACCAGCACATAAGAAATGAAATTGAATCAGCCCATTACCACACCGATTTTTAAAGAAAAAAAATTCGCCAAGCTCCACCACTGCACGTAACCATTAAATATTACTTACCCAATTTCAAATTAATTAAAGATCTAGATATATTCCAAGTTAAACTTTTTACAAAGTCTACAGAAACTTGTGCTAAAATATACACCATCAAATATATACAGTATGTACATATATTTAGAAATTCATGTTGTAGATGTTGATAAAAATTTTGGTCATTTTTTTTCAATTAGGACGAATTTAAAATTTTAATTAATTTAAAATAGAGGGAGTGTGTAGAATATTACATTGCTACATTTATTTTTTCAAGGTAACACACCAACATGTGTTTGTCAATATCTATATGCAAGTATCTATCAATATCTTTATGAAGGAGTGGTGGACCCTGACCCTTGCCGGCGGGAGGGATCTTGCCTCCATCTGTTGTTTTTGTGAGTTTGTGTAGGGTTTGTGTCTTGCAAAGACCATGCGATGGTATCACTCTAAAGATGGAATAAGGTTCACCCCGCCTAGCGCCCGTCTTGGTGATGCATCTAGCGTCATCGAAGGGCATGTGGTGGTGTGTGGCAGACTCATGAGATTCAGCCGGTGCTAGTGTTTGGTGGATCTGCATGGATCCAGTCTGTGTTCATCTTTGTCGTGTGTCTTCATGCTGGATCCTTTCGATCTATATTTTTCTTCATAGGCAAGGTTTACTGTCCTGGTGCACTGATCCTGTGGGGCCTTAGCACGATGAGTTTCTGACTATCTAATACAACAAGTTTGGCCTGACTCCGGTGAGGGAGGGGCGATGACGAGGCGCGTCTTTGGCTCGCTCCAATGCTGACGTGGCTTGATTAAATGATCAAAAGTTTCCTCGCAAAAAAAGATACCAGATGGGAAATGTGGTAAGCTATCTTGAAGATAAAAAAATTCTAATTATATCTAAGACGACATTGAGAGCTAATTAAGTGAAAGTTTCCTTTTGTGCCACAATACCATTATGCCTTCTCTGATTAGATAACGCATTCACCGTCCAGCACCTCGTTAATTGAAATCTCACAAATAAATTTTGCAATCACGAACAAAAGGCACTTTTTTATATCATTCAATCTCAGCCCATACTACTAAAATGGGAGTAAGATGGTAAGGGGTTGCAAAACAAGCACCAACGTGCATAATCAATCCTACGAAGAAAGAAGGAAACGTCAAGCGACGTGATCGAAGAGGCAGACTGGGATGGCGACACTTGTGTCGATCTTGCAGTCGAGCCTCAGTTACACTTAGGGCTAGAGGAGAAAACATCTACCGGGAATGACTTGGATATCATCCTGGCGTGCAGCCTAAGCTCATCCCCATCACGGCCAACCTCCTTTATGCTGACCCACGCAACAAAGACCTTCACCTTAATGCCTTCAAGAGTGCTGATCGTGTCATTTTTTATGTTCCCGGCGACCCGAGTGTTGTAGTGGATGTCGTAGTGGCCGTCGACACACAATTTGCATTCATCGGAGAAGTGTACCTCAAAGGAGCCGTCCGGTCGGAGCTTGTAGGCATGCACTCCCTGCGGGAGGATGCCCTGTGGGAAGCCATATCGCCCTAGCATTTCGTACGCCGTCGGCTTGGCTGCGGGGGCTAGGGCCTTGGCCAGGGTGGCGGCGGTGGCAGTGAGAAGGATGTCTACTATTGCCACGAGGAGGAGGGTAGTGTGCTTCGCCATTGTTGGTGCTCTAGCTCAGGCTGACAACTAAAGCTTTGCAAATATATTTGTGTGTCAGCACAAAAAGATGCAGGCTATAGAGAGATAAATTTATAAATATTTGGTATACAATAAATGTCTATTCAGTACTCACCAAAGTTAATTGGAAATATACCCCTACTAAAAATATTCTCATATAAATTAGATAAATATAAGATATATATGCTCATTAATTTTTCAAATCATAGCAGCAAAATAAACATTTAATTCCCTCAAAAAATAATCTTTACTGTACATTCATTGAGGTGGAATTAAATATGTCTCTTATTTTAGCGGAAATTAATTTTCTACTTTAATAACATTCACCAAGTTCTTCTCAAAGGCCCCGAGGTCCATTATTATTTATCTCGGCCCGCAATACCTTTTAAACCATTCAAGGCGACACTCAACACCTCTACCGGCAATGTATAGGCCATGACACCCAACGTGTACACTGGTCAAGCTACTTTTTAACAGATAGATCAACACCTAAATTCTAAATTTAAAAATATCCATCAATAAACTACCACAATTCAAAAATAAAACTCACCCAAATTGCTTTGAATAGAACACAAATCTTTTTAGCTTAATAAAGTCTGTTAAGTGATTTTACAAGGAAAAAAGAGGGCGCACAAACGATTTTCAACTACAAAATAATTGGAGGAACAAATTAATAGAGATCATATCAACCTATAATAATTGATGTAGTTTTTGATAGCATATTCTATAATCAACACTCAAAACCATTCTGTAGGTAGGCCAAATCGGACGACCACCCATGCGTCGAGGGATGGAGAATCCTATCCTCATAATAATTACTAGCAAAAATGCCCGTGCGTTGCGACTGGGAAAAACAAATCCACACTGCAAGTGAGCAATGGAAGAAACAAATTCACACTGCTAGTGAGCCATCCATGTTGCCATGTGCCCTCTTCGTTGCTGTTGATCAGTAGGGCCACCTATTCACGGAGACGGAGAACATGATCAATCTCAAGGTGATGAGCTTGTTCATCACCCTCTAGCATTCCACTTCGCGAGGTTCTGCCTGCACCGACTTAATTTCACAAACTTGCGATGATGGTGAATGCCACCCCCGTCTCATCTACACTTATTATATGCACTATCGAAAGATTTCATGCATGGCAATGGAGACAAATTAAATAAATAATCCCTCCGTAAACTAATATAAGATTTTTTAGATTAGTGATCATTGCTAATCTAAAAGATCTTATATTACTTTACAGAGGGAGTATAAAAAGATGGTGATATTCCCTGTATAGTTATTACTCACCTAGCAAAAGAGACCTTATCTTCATCTTTCACTGTAATTCCCTCTCAATCTTCCAATATTCCATCCAATAGCAAGCAGTTAACCGAAGTGGCAGCACGGAGCATCCAACTGCTAATACCTCTGCTCAAGAACCTTTACAGCATCAGCATTTTTTGTGCGTTACAACAGGAGAACAAATAATTCTTTCCATGTTCCTAGCTCACTAAAATCAAATAATATTATCATATAAAAGAATGCATTAATATATTGAATAATGCATGAAAATGCTTTATATAAACAATAATCCAAAATTTTGATACTATAAAAGAAAAGGTATTGCCTGCAGCGCGCAGGCAATAGACTACCAATAAAGCTCAGACTCCACAAACTGTTCAGGTCCTATCAATCTCAGTCCGATATCTCATTTTTTGCAGGGTAGTCTATTCTCAGTCCGAATTCGGGTAGACTATATGCTATTCTAATCATGTAATCGTGAGTCTCGTAGTCATCAGAATGGCTATGTATCCTCCTCAAGTTACCGAGTAATTCAGCATTTTCTTAGGGGCAAGCGAGCAACTACTTAGTAAGCGACACCGGATACGTTTCAGCGCCAAACTTGCATGGAAGAATCTCCGGCATGCTTCCAGATGGTTAAACTGCAGCGATGCCTGTTACAACCCGAATTGTCTCCCACATGTACTCTCGTGTATTTGCTCAACCTTATAGAATGATGGAGCATGTACCACTGCTTAATGTCGCGTAGCTCCGTCGCAAAATCTTGGAAAGTGGGTGCAGTGGCAGAGCTACCATAAAACAAGGTAGGCAAAGACTGCAATTTTTTTTTGAGCGGTAAAGCAAAAGCTTTATTGATCATAAACCACAACGTGTGGGATACAATTCGAATCATGGGGTTGGACAAGCCAAAGATAGCGCCCCTGATCAAGAGAAAGGGAAAATCTAGCAAGTTTGTGTGCCTCTACATTGACTGACCGACTTTCAAACATAAAAGAGCAAGTAAAATTAGAAGCTCTAGCGTGTATCTCCTCGATGATAGCCCCATCGCGGCCTCTGCTTGCTTTGTTCAGATCTTGTACTGCTTGTTTTGCATCTGACGAGATGACAATATTCTGGACTCCCAGGTCCTCAGCCAGCGCCAATGCCTCCCGACACGCAATGATCTCTAGTGTGGCCGGATCCTGCATGCCATAAATTAGCAGAGAAGAACTACCCTAATACTGTCCCTGATCATCTCTGCATATCGCCGCTGCCGTTCCCCTGGATCGAGCAACAGCAGCATCTACATGAATTTTTGCAAAGCCCGGCGGCGGCGCCTTAGGTCGCGAGCTTCCCACCGTTCTTCTACGCGTACTGGGTTGAGTTGATGTAGGGCCCTTGATCATATCCAGTTCAGAGATGAACCTCTCAACGAAAAAATGAGTAGCATGCGGACTTTGAAATATCCCTTCGTGGATCGCGTTCCTCCTTGCTGACCAAATCGCCCAGAGCGTTACAGCCATCTTCACAAATTGCGCATGAGATAATAGATTCATCATTGTGAATAGCCACTGTTTCGCTGATGGTTCGGTCGTGCCCGTGATTTTCTGCCCGATTTCTTCTTCAGACAACGCCCAAGTGCACCGTGACGTTGTGCATTCCAGCAACAAGTGGCGCCATGAATCCTGTACTCCGCACATCCCACAGACACTCGACTACGCCATGTTGCGATGGGCCCGAACGTCATTCGTCGGCAATGATTGTTTTGCAAGTCGCCACAAGAACATCCGAACCTTCCCTGGTACCGGAGTGTGCCAAAGTTTCTTCCAATCCCCACTCTCTTTGCTCGTTGTTGACGATCCTGTGTTTCCTTCCAACCATGCTTCCCTCCTCTTCCTGATCGAGATCAACATGTTATATGCGGACCTGACAGTGAACATACCCTTCTTCTCAAAATTCCATGCCCAATTATCTTGTATATTTCTCGTACAAATTGGGATGCTCAAGATTGGCTGAACCTCAATGTGGAGAAAAACATCTTGAAGGCGCTGAACATTCCACCTTGCAGACGTAGCGTCTATGAGTTCCGACACTAGTGACGGTGGGTTTTGTATCAGGCAGCCGTACGGCCTCATCATTTCATCTCTAGGAATCCAGATTTCCTCCCAGATACTTGTTTCTGTCCCATTACCAATCCTTCGAATAAGGCCCAGGTTTAGGACATCACGGCCTTCTAGGATTGCTCTCCACACCTGGCTCGGATGTGATCCCAGACTTGCTTTAAGAATTGTATATGTCGGGAAATATACACTCTTTAGAATGCGCGCACTTAGTGTATCAGGGTTCTGCAAGATCCTCCATGCTTGTTTAGCAAGCAAAGACAAATTAAACAACTCAAAATCCTTAAACCCTAGGCCACCCATTGCTTTTGGCCGAGTCATATCCTTCCAAGACACCCAGTATGGTTTTCGTTGACCATTCTTGCTACCCCACCAGAATTTTCTAATCATCGTGTTAAGACTTTCACAAAGTCCTCTTGGCAGTTTGAAACAGGACATAGAAAAGACAGGTATAGCTTGGGCTACTGCTTTGACCAGAACTTCTTTCCCCGCCGAAGACATTGTTCTCTCAATCCATCCCTTGATTCTGCTCCACAAGCGGTCCTTCAAATATTTAAACGCGCCATTTTTCGATGATCCAACATCCGAAGGCATACCCAGATATTTCTCATTTAGTGTCTCATTGGGCACATGAAGTAGTCCCTTGATCTCATCCCTTACACTCTCCGGAACTCCTTTGCTGAAAAAGATAGATGATTTATCATAGTTTATCCTTTGCCCAGTTGCCTGACAATAGGTATCCAGAACCTGGTGCACCTCCAATGCTCCCATACTATTAGCCTTAAAAAACAGCAGGCTGTCATCAGCGAATAGAAGATGGTTTACTCGTGGCGCCGTAGGAGCCACTTGCAATCCACCCAAATTGGATGACTCATCTTTGGATTTTAATAGGCACGAAAGGCCCTCTGCTGCTATCAAGAACAAATATGGAGAGATTGGGTCCCCTTGGCGAATACCCCTTGATGGCTTGAACTCCTTTAATTTCTTTCCATTGAACAAAACCGAAAAGGTGACAGAGTTTATAAGATTCATCACAATAACAACCCACCTTTCCGTGAAGCCCAACTTGATCATAATTGCCTTCAGATAATTCCATTCTACTCTATGTAAGCTTTCATCATGTCAAGCTTTAAAGCGCAATGTTGGTTTTTCTTTGCCTTGTTCCTTTTCATAAAATGCAAACACTCATAAGTAGTGATAATATTATCTGTGATCAGTCTACCTGGAACAAAAGCGGATTGCTCGCTCGATATGATCTCGGGAAGGACTAGTTTCAGACGGTTAGATATCACCTTCGAGGCTATCTTGTAAAGAACATTGCAAAGACTGATTGGTCTGAACTGAGATAGTAATGTGGGATTTTTTACCTTTGGGATCAACACCAGCAAGGTGTTGTTAAT